AAGATCCATCACACTGTTCTGCATTCTCATTAGATAAGATTTCTGTTATCCACAGTTTTATTACCTTCAACAAACTCTCTATGGCCTTGAACCTGAATGACCCCTGCCAAGAGATAAGCATCACATTTTCTTTCATTGCTAGATTTATATACATGATTTACCTCGCCACTTCAATTAATACAGTACTTTTCCTTAGAAATTTTCCTTTTAACATATACATTTGTATCTTTAAAAGTATCCAAAACAATTTGATGACAGAAATTGATCTAGCAGTGACTTGAAAGGGCTAAGGTTTAAATCTCAGCTCTAACATGCCATATTTCTGCAGACAGGGTGGCATATCACTAGAACTGGTAGCTTCTGCTCAGAGTGGTGAGTTATTGCTGAAAAGTGGTCGCCCAGCCAGATGTCACTTTTTTTTAAAGCTCTTTTGCATCTAGGGAAATCCATGTAATTTGGGCAAAAAATATGCAAGGCAGTCACATATGTCACATCATAACCTAGGAAGTCTAAAAATTGGGTTTGTTTTCTCCATACTCAATTCTTAGCAGTGGTGGTCTCATAGGCCATATGTCAAAGCCTTTACCTTCATAAAATGCATCAGACATTCATCCCTGAGTCATTGCTTACAAAAGAGCTCCCCAACAGGGATGGAGTTTGCATGACTTGGAATATTTGAAATGGACCACATTGGAAACAGAAATACATGTTTAGTATGTTAAGTCACTGAGATTTAGGATTGTCTGATAGTGTAGTGAGCCTCTTGGCTAAAATGCCAGTTATATTATTTTGGATGAGTTAATTTACCTCTGTGCCTCAGTTTTCTCATCTGTAAAATTGGGAGGAAAAGACAGCATACCTCATAGAGCTGTGAAGATTAAATGGGGTGACTTGCATAAAACACTCAGAAGAGTGCTTGCCAGAGTGTAGGCATTCAAAAAGTCTTAGCTGCTGCCATTCATATCTGTTATTTCTGCTTCATTACTGTAGCCAAAGATGGTCTTTATAGAAATGGGACTCATTCTATTTCTTCCCAACATATGGTCAGACCACACAGCCAAATTAGGCAAAGCTTAACATTTCCCTTTAGAAATCAGAGTAAGTATTTCCACCAAGGAAGAAGAAAACTCTGTATTTTAACTTGCCACAAGAATCTAGGTAACTGGATAGGATTTGAGATGGCCATTCTCTCTACATTCTTTACTTTTTGTTGGTTGGGTCTGTCTAACCACCAATGGGGAAGAATGTGGCAGAGTCCTATGAATATAGAGAAATCCAATTGTTATTCTCACCATTGGGCAGGGACACCACCACCAGAGAAACGACCATTGTGTTGCCTGTCTCAAATCTGATCTTCCTGTGCCAGGGACCTGCATTTAGGAGATAATGGAACCTCAGTGTAGAGAACTCTTCTCATTAGGATGACTGACTGAGGGCTTGGGCATCCTCAACTCTGAAGCTTGTGAATTGTTGTCTTGTCTCACACATTCTATCCTGTTGCCATCCAGGATGGTTCCCGTGGTCCCCACAGGTATTGGCAAGGATGGAGCCAGGGGACAGCCCTTCATGAAACTCTGTGCAGCTGGAATGCCCTCCTGTGATGTGAGAAGACATGGGGAAAGAAGAGCATGGGGACATTTAGCAGGCCCACTTCTAGAAACTCCAACAAGTTGTAGGAACCTATCTCATAGGATAAAACCTACCCATTTGTTCCCTAGTTAGGCTGAGTCAGGACTGTGATTATTTGAGCACTGATACCCCTTAACTGACTCAACCCTATTCTTCAAGTTGATTTAAATCCATGTTTCTTCTTTAAGTGAATGTACTTTTCTGTAGCTTAATTTAATTAAAGATCAACCCTGGATTTACATAATCTCATATGGAACTCACAAGTAGTCAACGTATCCATAACTTCATTTATGATTTGCTTATTTATTAAAGGACCATGAGGAATGCTCCTGAGCTGGTCAGGTAGCCTCGGAGCCCTGACCCCAGGAAGTCTCTTGTGGTCTCTCCCAACCCTCACACCGGTTTCCCCCCAGCTGGCAGTTCTGGAAGAAGCCTGTCAGCACTGGGAAGAAAACCAAGTAGATTATCAGGAAATCAAATATTCACCAGGAATGAGTATTTCGAGTGCAGCAAGTTCAATTTGCCAGATAATTTGCTTCCCACACTCAGCCTTACCTACAGCACAATGAAATACATTTCAATTTAAATTGCTTCTCAGCTCCAATCAGCATTAATTTAATAATACATATTCAACAGATATAAACACTTCAAATGGTTAAAAAATGTGAACAGATCCACATGTTTATGCTGATATTGATGCCTAAATATGATATTTATTGGTGATGGCAATGGAAATGTTTTCCTTTTAATTCCTCCCTCCCAAATAGGAATATGAAATCATCTGCAAGCTGCTAAGGGATTTACATACTGGCTGGGGTAGGAGAGCTTTTGGCTACTTTGCTTTGCATTTCTGTGTGTTCACTAAGGTTTCCTCTGCTGGCCTTCATTCTAGTCTGATGAATTTCTTCTCTGGTCAGGACGCAGCCTCTCCTCTCATAGTTGGTCTGGAGTAACTCAGCTCAACCCTCAGGGGTGAAAACTCAGGAAGAAAAACTTCCTTCTTTGTGGAACAAAGGTAGCTGTGGAGCTTTACAACATTTTTACCATCAAGACAAGAGGGCCACACAATGGTTTTTAAGACAAAGAGAACATCCCAGAATAGACTGCAGGATTGTCTGAACTGGGAAAGGTATCCTGGAGGCTGCGCCTCTAATGTTGCAAATGGAGAAACTGAGGAAAGGAGGCTGGCCTAGAATGTTAGGGAAAGCCTGACCAGAAGTCAGGCTTCCTGACTCTAAGATAGCAGACATTCCAAAATGCAGCTTTCACTCAGGTAAAAACAGACAAACAAAACCAAAACACTTAGAGTGCATGCACAACAAGGGTTTTGTTTGTTTGGTTTTTTTGAGATGGAGTTCCCTCTTGTTTCCCAGGCTGGAGTGCAGTGGCGCAATCCCGGCTCACCACAGCCTCCTCCTCCTTGGATTCAAGCGATTCTCCTGTCTCAGCCTCATGATTAGCTGGGATGACAGGCATGCGCCACTACACCTGGCTAATTTTGTATTTTTACTAGAGTCGGGGTTTCTCCATGTTGGTCAGGCTGGTCTCTAACTCCCGACCTCAGGTGATCTGCCCATCTCAGCTTTCCAAAGTGCTGGGATTACAGGCCTGAGCCACCTTGCCCAGCCTTTTATTTTTTCTTTTTAAGCCAGGCTCAGAACAGTTTTGTTCAAAGAAAATAATATAGAAGTTGAAAAAAATAATTAAATTTGAGAGTTTAATATAAAAGCTAATGTTAGTAACAATGGTAGAGGGAACTATACAATCTTTGTCAAAGTATAATTTTCAAAATATTAAAAACATGACCCTGATACAAATATATAATGTCAGTTTCAATTCATTAATAAAGGAACAAATGAGATGATAAAGTTGGTTGCAAAAGTATTTGAAGAATCGGGAATTTATAGAAAATTTTTAAATGTGAGCATATTTGCTTGGTTACATGAAAGAAAAACTGGTTAATGTTTCACAATAAACCTTAAAACTCTGTTGTTTGGGACATCTCTCTTACTGGACATAAATCAACAAATTAACACATGAACTTCACACTGTCTGGGCTCCTGTCAAATACCAAATAGCTACATCAAACACAGGTACAGGCTTCCACGGAATTAAATAATCCTTGAGTAAACCTTTTAGGCAAGACCTCGGTATGTTATTTATAAAACATGCCCCCTTCCCTCACTGCACACCTCCTCCATCAGCACCTTACTTTTAAATGTTGGGTGATTATCAAAGCAGATATTTAAGTTTTGGATCACAATCATAGCAGAACTTTATACTACATTTTTCTGTCTCTCATACCAAAAACTGCCTCCCCAGTCTCATGCATGCCATTACTGTCTTTCCACTTCTCTAGACTTAAATCTTTAGGCTGCTTGGTCTCCTACCCTTCCTGCTTCATCTCACTGGGTCCTATCTCCGCTGTCTTCTTACTCAGTGGCTCTTTCCCTTTCCAATGTTACTCTTATAGGACCCTCAGACTTTTAAAGTCCTTCCTGTTCTGGATCTCCCTAGTGATTACAAGGTCAAAAACTTTAATGCTAAAAACAATTTACTGATAAAGGTGAACAGTAGGGTCAATCCTAAAAAGCAAACACTAATTTTGGGAGTTGGGGAAGAAGGAAAACGTGAGAAAAAAGTTAAGGATATGCAAACATTGGATAACTTATTGTATTAACTGTGTTATATCAACACAATTCCCACCCAGTAATGAGCCTCTCAGAAGTGCAAGATTCTGGGAAGGATGCAAGATTTGGCTTTCCTGGGCCAGTGTACTGATTGAAGATAGCGTCAACTCATTCCTATCAGTGGCACACCTTCTTGAATTATCCCTGTACTTAAAACCACTTTGAGGCCAGGCGCAGTGGTTCTCACACCTGTAATCCCAGCACTTTGGGAGGCCAAGGCGGGTAGATCATAAGGTCAGGAGATCAATTGAGACCATCTCGCCATAGTGAAACCCTGTCTCTATTAAAAAATACAAAAAATTAGCTGGGCCTGGTGGCGTGCGCCTGTAGTCCCAGCTATTTGGGAGGCTGAGGCAGGGGACTCACTTGCACCCGGGAAATGGAGGTTGCAGTGAGCCGAGATTGCGCCTCTGTACTGCAGCCTGGGTAACAGAGCAAGACTCCATCTCAAAAAAAAAAAAAAAAACAACAAAAAAACCAACACACACTTTGAAAATTCTTGGCTTTCCAGAGTAGTTTCTTTGAGTGGTTGTGTTTATTTTACCACTCAGTTTTAATGGATATACAGTTATTAACCATTTAGCCCACTTACGCAGGCACATAAACATCAATGGCAAAAGCAAGTTCTAATATTTTTTAAAAAGCAGTTTTGAAGATGACATTTCTTTGGATTTCTTTCAGGACTGAAGACATGGAATACATTTGCTGGGTGTAAATAGTTAAAGACATCGCTGCTTTCAACTGGTGTCAGTAAGTACAGAATTTATTTTTTAAAATAGATCAAAGAATTGGAAAGGGTGTGAGATTTGAGGTTGGAAGACCTGGGTTGTCATCTGGAGAGACTCATAGGCAGCTCTGTGGCCTATGCAGGCCCAAGAGAGGAAGTGATCCCTTCCTTGCATCGCACAGGGAGTAAGTGATTGAAATTCTTTGTGTGTGAAGTAGATGGAAAGATGGGACAATCATGGAAACCCACTCTCCCATTTCTCAGTGCATGGTTTCTTGGAGTATTGCACATTATCTCTGGAGAAGGAATATTAAGGATTCTCCTGCACTTTATTTTTATATTAAATTTAAAAGATCATTTAGAAAGCTGTGTTTTGACTGATTGGCAAAAGCTGTAGGAATAGGCAATGGCTATGACCTCTAAATATTCAAATATACAATCAACTGGAGGCCACTACCCTATCTCTCTCCCTGTTAATCCGGAGAGATCCTCCCCTACCCCCGAGAGAATGATGGCTTTGAGCAACGGGACTAGAAAGAAGCTCATGGACTCAGTTCAGTCCATGAGTTTCCTAGACTGTATACCATGTTCCGGGTATATTATGAGAAGTCTTTCCCACCTGCAGGATGTCCAGCTCCTCAGCCGATTAATTCATTTAGAGAAGTTGTAGGCAGGGAATGGTGAAGTGCTCAGTGATGCACCCACAATCTCTGCAGCTTACATACCTCATCCCCTCATTGTGGTCAATCCTGATGAGCATGTTTTGTATTTCCTAAAAGGAACATGCATATCCCCCATAGGTACAGGTTACTGGGATTGTGATTCTGTAAATATGCTGAGCTCAAAGAACTGAGGCTGATAACAGTGAAATCCATCTCTGTTCTGTATTTTCTGCTATTTGATAACTTTCATATTAGAGATTCTGAGTTCTGGCTCTTGACCAAATTTTGGCATAAATGACACAAAGTCACCTCCTATCTCTGTGTTGCAACTATTAAAGTATATGGGATACATATGCCGTTAGAATTTGTACAGATCAGCACATCATGGCTTGGGGGAGGGTGTCTGTGGTCTTTAAGATTTCTCATGATAGGTGAGTGCAAGCTGTTTGTTACATAGAGAAATGCTTTTCAAACTGTGATAAAGGGTCTTTAAAAATGTCCAGTCCACTATATGCTAACACTTTTACAATACAATAAAAATAAGAGAAAAATGAAGCCGGGCACAGTGGCTCACGCCTGTAATACCAGCACTTTGGGAGGCCGAGGTAGGTGGATCATGAGATCAGGACTTCAAGACCAACCTGGCCAACATGGTGAAACCCTGTCTCTACTAAAAATACAAAAATTAGCTGGGCGTGGTGGTGCACGCCTGTAGTTCCAGCTACTCAGGAGGCTGAGGCAGGAGAATTGCTTGAACCCAGGAGGTGGAGGTTGCAGTGAGCCAAGATCGCACCACTGCACTCCAGCCTGGGCAACAGAATGAGACTCTGTCCCGAGGGGGGGGGAGGGGAGGGAAGAAAAGAAAAGAAAAGAAAAGAAACAAAAATCTATACAAAATATAATTTGTTTTTATTAGGCATAAAATTGTTCTTTCAGTCTCTATAAATTCTGATTTATTTTTTTCCCTCAATGTCAGTACTTGTTGCAGACCAGTAATAAACAACTCATAGGCCAGCCCAATGGCCCATACTTGGAGAAGCTCTGGTTGAGAGAGTACGTAGGAAGGTTACATCTTTTTTATAGTGTAGGGGAAAGGTTGCCTCAAAGTTGTGAAGCTATCCTACCCATTCCCTCCAAGGGTTAGAACCCGCATACAGCCTATTCTATGCAACTACCATGCAGAAAGACATTGTTTATACAAATGAAATTGAGTTGAAGATTCTTGGATTCTCTTGGAATCTTTCATAAGAATGAAAATAAGTGGCTTTCACCATCCAGACAATCTTTATTTTAATTTATCCATTACAGTCCTTCTGGAGAACCTGATTCTTTCTTTTCTTAGCCAAATTTACATTACCTTAAATTACCTTACCATGACAAATGGCTTAGGTCTGAGCACTGGAGCATCAATTTAGTGGCCACTCAAATGAAGGTAGTGGGAATCATTTAAGTCAGCCTGTGTTTTCCAAACATGCAATTTAAGAAGGTTGCAAACCCAAATGTGTAAATATTATTTAAAATATAAAGAGATCTGTGTAGAAGCCAGGCACTTTGAAATGGAAATAAAAAAGCCAAATACCTCAGCTAAGTGCTTCAGATAGCAACTCAAATATTACATGAAACAAGGAAGACAAAAAAGGAGAAGCAGAATTCTGAAACTTTGCAACAGCTGATGTCCTTTGAAGGATGGACTTGAGTAAGTACTAATCTTTAGAATCAGATGCATTTGCATTGTTAACAGTATCCGAATCACTCAAATTCTTTTGTCACTCTACTGAGCACTTCCTTGATGGTTAAAATACTGTATCAATGCATTAACTAAATGTATTTGCCCATTGCCCGAAATTAGTGAAAAGTCAAGAAGATTATAACTGGTTTGGTATAGAATTAGAGGAGATTTACTTCTGAGGCTGGAACTATGTAGACCAATTAAATGAAAAGATAATGCCATTATGTGAATAAACTCACACAAAAGAAACTATCACAAAGATGAAGGTGTACAATGAGGTTTTGTGAATTATCAGAGAGAATTATGTAGATGGGCACACTGCAAAAGTGTTGTTGTTTTTAATCTAACTAGCCATACTGAAATGGGAGAGTTCCCTGACCCCTCTCACAGGATGTGTGACAGGGGTGTGGCTTATTGCTGCTCAAACCTCTTACAGGAGGGGGGAGCACACAGACAGGTGCAGGAGCCCAAGTGGGCATGTGTTACAGTACACCCTTTTAGCCTTACAGTCTGTGAATGGCTTCAGTGTTAACTATCCCTGTGGACCCTCTGCCTTTTTGCAAGGGCTGGGGGACAGTGTGAAAGCTTTCTGTATCCTGAGCTCCTGCAGTGTCCCAGAAAAATAAGGTCACACACAGACTTGAAGGATGGTGAATGCTAGGTTTTATTGGGTGGAGTGGCTCTCAGTGGGAGAGATGTGGAGGGGAGTTGGACAGGGGATGGAGTGGAAAGATGATCTTTCCTTGGAGTTTGGCCATTCAGCAGCCAGTCCTCTGATCATCCCCAGCTGAATTCCTCCTGACATTCAGACATTCTTTCTCTGCCGTCCCATTTTGCTGTTCTGCTCATATCCTGCTTCTGAAGCCTAGAGTTTGGGGTTTATATGGGTACAGGATATGGGGCATAGCAGACCAAAAGGCAACTTTTTGGGCCTATAAATAGGAATGCCTGATCTGACTTAGGGTTGCTGGTTTTCAGGCTTGAGGGTGTGGCCTTTGCCAGGGAACCACTCTCTTCTACCCAGTAATTCCCTATCTCCTCTCCATATCAATACTTAGCAAGACTAATTAATACTGAATACATGATGCTTGCCTCCTTGATGCCCTGACCAAACATAACTTACTTTACATTTACAAAAATGATGTGATAGAGATAATGCTATAAAATACTTTAATCGAATGAAAAGAAGTCTTGCAGTTATTAGTTTTACTGGGCTTCAGAGTCACCCAGGAGGCTTATCAGTTAATGTAGATTGCAGGGTGCCAAACCCCAGATATTTTGAGTCAACAGATATGGGGCAACATAAACTGCCTTTCTAAGCATACCAGGTGAATTCGACACAAGTGACTCCTAGAACACACTGTCAAAATTCACACACCTTCCTCACTGTATGAATGAAGAAATGGAAACTGCTTGGCTGTGTGACCTCGGTGAGGCCACTTAAACTCTAAGAGGCAAAACCAAGACTGGAAATCAAGGACTCTGCTCCACCCCCCATGCTGCCTTAAAGTTACCTGGATCTGCAGCTAACCTGTATTTCTGTACAATGCCTTGGAAGCAAACACATCTTTCTCAATTTACAACTAGAAGGATTTACCCTAACCAGGGGTGACAAAATAAGTCAAATATTTGGTAGGTCATTGAGGTTGCTTTTAAAATTCTGCTTTAGATTTTATGGTAACTGCTTTGTATCTCCATAACCTCAGACACAGCCCAAGGATAGAGGGTGCAGACAACCTCTCTTTTTTTGCTCTGGGGAAATCTATTCATCATAAGAAGTAGTAGAACTAGAGAACTCTTACCAGCTCGGTTACCAACATATAAATGAAGGCTCAACATGAAAGCAACTGTATTCTGTGTCATTCCAACAGCAGTGGAATGACACCAGCTGGAATCTTCAATTGAATTCAGATAGTAACTACCCAGAGCTAGCACAGACCCCGTAGGATGGGGGGCTCAGTCCTACTACTTCACATGCCAGCTCTCAATTCCAGATGTCCCCAAACCGTCTGCACTTCTGCCTAGCTGGTGACATTTGGAAGTTTTGATGAAGTTACCCTATTAGATTTGATAATTTGCTATGACATCTCACAGAACTCAAAAAAGAACTATAGTTGTGATAACAGTTTTATTATAAAGGATATAACTCAGGGAAAGCCAAGTGGAAGAGATGCAAAGGGTAAGATACAGGGCTGTGGAAGAGGCTCAGCACTTCCATGCCCTCTCTAGGTGTGCCAGCCTCCTAAACACAATGTGGTCACCAAGGGGACGTTCCACAAGTCTCAGTTTTCTGAATTTTTATTGAGCTTTGGTAATGTAAATGTGATTTTTGAAGTCACTGGCCATATGATTGAACTCAATTTCCAGTTTGGCTTTCATCTCCAGTGACTGGAGGATAGGGCTGATAGTTCCTACTCTGTAAACATGTTTGGACTTTCTGTAACCAGCCCCTATTGTGAAGCTATTGACGGGGGCTTGTCATGAGTCTCCTCATTAGAATAGAGGCAGGCATGCTCTAAGGGGCTCATTGTAAATCACAAAAGATTTTCTTACTGCTGAAGAAATTCTAAAGGTGTTAGGAGCTTTGTGCCAGGGACTCTGGGACAAAGATGAAATATAAATTTTTATTATA